CCCCAAAACCCCAAAACCCCAAAACCCCAAAACCCCATTTTACAACCAAGCAACTGAAGTTAAATCTGATTGGCTGCCAAAATATTATATCTTAAATTCTTATTGGTGGGAATTACTCCTTCTGGTTTTGAAGGAATTACATCATCGCTTATTCAACTTCCTTGATATCCATTGGTGGGTCATAAGGATTCCATTCCTCTTCTTTTTCTTCCTTTTGGTTGAAGTAAATCCAGATTGACGATAAGATAAAGAGTCCGAGCATTATGGCCCAAAAGATTTTGATGTGAAGGGGGAATGGCTTTCCTCCATAGACATCAAATCCTCTGACGCTGATTCCTGTTTCCATGCAGACTAGACAAATTGTGAGCCACATGTGTGGTCTCACTCTTTTTGAGTACTTGTTGGTAAAGTATTCGAATAGCTCTTCAGACCCTGCTACCAACAGAGGGAACCAGAGAGCTAGCCTGAGTTTTAAGAGGAAGTGATTTGGAGGGACTAGTAGCACAGTTTTCATAAAGAAGTTATTTCAGTCAATCATCAATCCCATGATTCAGTAGCCAATGACTGCATAATATCTCTTTAAGCTCTTGAACACCTTCCAGTCATGTTGGATCAAGAAGCTTGGCTGAAGTTTGAGTACTGCTCTTTTGATTGAAGATCATTGGTTGATATATTTCGCTTGCTCCGTTCTCTATAAAAAATGTAAAACTCAGACTAATGATTTAAAATTAATCAATTCCTAAATGAAAACCTCGATTCAGTCATAAGTTGAGTCTTAAACAGTGCTATTTGCTTCAGAAATAGCTCGTATAGCCAAACGTTTGTTTCAAGGAAAAATAAATAGTCTGAAAATATCTAACTTTCTAGAATACCCAAAAATGGGATCTAAAATGATCCCTCTTCTTTTTGCAAATGTCCCATTTACTGCTAGCGTATAAGAAAGATGTTTGAAGCAAAGAAAGCTTGCTTTTTAGCCTCTCTATAAGGTTACAGAGGTAAATGGAATGCCTGAGAGGGTTAAACCAGTCCTCTTCAATTCAGAAAATAATTTCTCTTTGTATTTCTTAGGAATATTGGTAAGAAATCAAGAAAATTTAAATGGTGAAAAGAGTTACCTGATCCTTGACGTAGATCCAATTCGTCTTTTTTATTGAGTAATACTTGAGAATCTTTGAACCAATATAGATTCCTAACAGATTACATCCAAATAGGTCAAGGATGAGATGATCCCACCATCATTCTTTGAAATTTGGAAGCCAGTGGTTGAGTGTTAACTCAGCAACCTCAAAACCAATGCTTCAAATCCAACAAATCTTGGTATCTCTAATTATCAGTACTTTAGCTACCCACCCTAGCAGATGGGCCAAAGTATGAATATCAAAGAAGGCTTCAGAAAGATTCCTAAATGCTGATACAGGGTCTTCTGGAGTATAAATCCTACAATCTTCAGCATAGCTTCTTTCTGGAAGTTCTTCTCCAAGTTTTTCATCAAACATTTTAAAAGTCTTCCTTGCAGCATCAAGTGGTAATAAAGATAAATAAGTCAAAAAGCCCAAGTAAATCAGGTTTGCTCCAAGGACACCTCTCCAAATGAACGGATGAGGCCTTGTCATGATAGTATCTGGCATATAGAATCAGCTGAACATGAGGAAGAAGAATATGGCTGCTTTAAACCCCAGAGCTTGGAGGTCTTCAACCGCCCATCCTCTCGTGTAATAAATCAAAACGTTCAGAGCTAAAATTCCGAGTCCAAGAAAAGTCAGTGTATGAGAGGCATAGAAATATTTGTTGAACTCAACTGTCTCCAAATTCTTCTGCTTAAGAATATGAGGAGAGTCGTAAAGTTTTGGGGGTATAATCGACTGCATTCCTACCTCTCGATGCTTGAGAGAGGTTTTGTGAGAGATGCTTTTAGGCATTTTTAATTGTTAATGATAACATCCCAAATCTTTTTGCCTTATATGGGGTTTTGGGGTTTTGGGGTTTTGGGGTTTTGGGGTTTTGGGG